AAAGAAAAGGTAGCCAGGCACAGTTGCTCACTCCTGTAATCCCAACACTTTGGGAGGCCAAGGTGGGTTGATCACCTGAGGTCAGGTGTTCGAGACCAGCCTGGCCAACATGGTGAAACATCATCTCTACTAAAAATACAAAAAATTAGCCAGGTGTAGTGGCAGGCTCCTGTAATCCCAGCTACTAGGGAGGCTGAGGCAGGAGAATTGCTTGAAGCTGGGAGGCAGAGGTTGCAGTGAGCCACTGCACTTCAGCCTGGGTGACAAGAGCAAAAATTCTGTCTCAGAAACAAAATAAGGAAAGAAACTTGAAAACTAAGAATTTGAGTGAATTGCTTGTTGAAGTGACTGGATCCCTAGAATAGCACCAGAGCTTTGACTTCCTCTTGAGTAGGTGAGCAGATCTGAGAAGCCCTGGTAAGTAATTATGGTTTCTGCCATTGAAAGTCATGGCAGAAACCACAGTTACTTTTGCACCAACCTACTGTATTACCAAAAGCAACAGTTAAGGATTTAATTTCATTTTTACTAACACAAAATGTTTTGTTTTGTTTTTAACTTCATTGTTTCTGCTCTCTAGGGCTTGGATTTTGAGGCCAAGCAGCAGTACATTCTACACGTGGCAGTGACGAACGTGGCGCCTTTTGAGGTCTCTCTCACCACCTCCACAGCCACCGTCACCGTGGATGTGCTGGATGTGAACGAAGCCCCCATCTTTGTGCCTCCAGAAAAGAGAGTGGAAGTGTCCGAGGACTTTGGCGTGGGCCAGGAAATCACATCCTACACTGCCCGGGAGCCAGACACATTTATGGAACAGAAAATAACGTAAGTGTGAGGATTTTTCAACTGACTTACAGCAGCTGGGTATTTTATATCATTTTATATATAAATCAATAATACATAGTTCATGGCATTTTGTCATTTGTCTGTACAAGACCATTCTCTTAATTTATTTTTTATTCCCTTTATCTGTACTCCTTTCACCTGTTCCCTTCCCTCTACAGACAGCCGTTCTTGGTCTGATGTGCTGCCTCTCTTTGAGCTCTTGTAGTATGGTAGAAATGTGATCTTACTTTGCATACACAATAGTGTGTTTTTTTGTGTTTGGAGTCTCACTTTGTCACCGAGGCTAGTATACAGTGGTGATCTCTGCCTACTGCAGCCTCTGTCTCCTGGGTTCAAGCAATTTTCATGCCTCAGTCTCCCACGTAGCCAGGATTATAGGTGCCCGCCACCACGCCCGGCTAATTTTTGTATTTTTAGTAGAGATGAGGCTTCACCACATTGGCCAGGCTGGTCTCGAACTCCTGACCTCAAGCGATCTGCCCGCCTCCCAAAGTGGTGGGATTACAGGCATGAGCCCCCGCACCCAGCCCATAGTATTGTGTTCTAAGTAGCTTACTATTAGTATTTCTCTTTTCAAACTTGAAGGTACCTCTATAATGTAAATCACACAGATGCTGAAAACCCACATACCAACCAACCAACTACAACACTTGCTTTAAAATACTCTCATTTTGGGCTGGGTGCAGCGGCTTATGCCTGTAATCCCAAAACTTTGGGAGGTCTAGCAAGTGAATCATGTTGAGGCCAGGTGTTCAAGACCAGCCTGGCCAACATGGTGAAACCCCTGCCTCTACTAAAAACACAAGAAATTAGCCAGGCATGGTGGTGCACACCTGTAATCCCAGCTACTTGGGAGGCTGAGGCACGAGAATCACTTGAACCCAAAAGGTTGAGGTTGCAGTGAGCTGAGATCGAGCCACTGCACTCTAACCTGGGCGACAGAGTGAGACTCCATCTCAAAAAATAAAATAAAATAAAATAAAAACTCTCATTTTCTATATGTAGCCAATGGACTCCTCATAATCTAGAGATATTTCTACATGCTCTGAACTGTAAGGCCTGGCAAGATGGGTTTTAACTGAAGTTTAAAAGAATGGTGAAAAGTCAAAGACAATAATGTAGGATTTGGTTCTGTGATGAAACCCTGGATTGTACAGTTTCCAGGCTGGGCTGAAAGCTTGCAGTAGTGAAATAGATAGTTCAAAGCATCTCCTGGGGCAGATTCAGGGACCAGGTCTCTAGTGTCTGTTTGCAGAGGCCCTTACACCTGGAACAATGACCACTTGATGTAATTCATTGCTTTGCACTTCCAAAGAAGTGAGGCCAAGCCCGCAGGTTCTCAGAGTCCTTTCCTCCTTTGATTTCTTAGTTTCCCTTTCAGAGCCTTTCCATGACCCTAGTAAATAACTGAGCAGTAGATCTCTGTTAGCTTCCCTGTACCTCCCATTAAATGCCAATAGTACAGCCCACCCACAAGTCAACAAGGCAACCTGCATCTCCAGATGTTCATGACAGGAGAAGAGGTGACATGTTGCTACCATTTAGGAACTACTGTATTGATTGTTTTGGGGGAGCTGGTCTGGAGGAGTCTGCTTTTAAAAATAAATAAGGATTATAGTAATCATTGCTTCAGCAAGAATCATCCATAGATGCCAAATCTGTTGGGTGAAAGTTAGTTGCTGAACAAGATATTCTTAAATTATCTACCTGCAGATTATATGTTAATCATGCAGTATAAAAAGGCACCTTTGCTGTGAAGAAATCTGGTGGCCTTTCCCTTATCCAAGTGATCAAAGTTATCAATAGAAGCACAGACAGACATCATGTGCTTCCCAGTGTCCTGCACTAGGGAGGCCACAGCATCACTCTGTTGTGTTCTTGTCCCCACCACTGACCCCTGAAATGGATTACCTGAATCTAAATTTTGAGGAGTAATCAGGCAAACCCAAACTAAGGGCATTCTAGAAAACAACTGGCCAGCACATTAAAAAAATGTCAGTGACAGAAAAGAAAGCCTTAAGGAAGAGCCATGCCAACCAAAGGCCATATTGGATCCTGAATCCAGAATGGTGCAAGGTTGCTATAAAGGACATTTTTGGAAAATCTGACAATTTGAATATGCACCATATATTCAACAGTAGTATTCTATCAAAGTGCTGGGATTACAGGCATGAGCCACCGTGCCCAACCTATTGTTGGTTTTCAAAATAAAACATTGGAAGTAACCATATAACTGAAGAAGAGCTTGAGCCATTTTCAGCTACATGTTGTTTGCTGGTCCTATTCTAAAAGCCAGAGCTTGTGCCTGTTTAGGTATCGGATTTGGAGAGATGCTGCCAACTGGCTGGAGATTAATCCGGACACTGGTGCCATTTCCACTCGGGCTGAGCTGGACAGGGAGGACGTTGAGCATGTGAAGAACAACACGTACACAGCCCTCATCATAGCTACAGACAATGGTAAGGGGGCCTCATCTGGGCCTTTGCTGCCTCACCCTCCTGGCTAGTTGACTTTCTTGCCCCTCCCTTCTTTTGGAGGCAAGAGTTTATTCTTTTTCTTTTATCCTTTGTGTTTGTTGGATTGATTTGTATAAATGTATGGAGTAGAAGGGTAATTTTGTTACAAGCATAGATGTATAGTGATAAAGGCAGGGCTTTTAGTGTATCAATAGAAGCACAGACAAACATCATGTGCCTCCCAGTGTCCTGCACTACGGAGGCCACAACATCACCTCTGTCGTGTTCTTGTCCCCACCACCGACCCCTGAAATGGATTACTTGAATCTAAATTTTGAGGAGTAATCAGACAAACCCAAATTAAGGGCACTCTAGAAAACAACTGGCCAGCACATTAAAAAAATGTCAGTAACAGAAAAGAAAGCCCTAAGGAAAAGCCTAACGCATCACCCAAATAACATGCGTTGTACCCATTAAGTAATTGCTCATCATCTAACCCCTCCCACTCCTCGGACCCTTCCCAGCTGCCATTGTTTATCATTCCACAATCTACATCCATGTGTACACATTATTGAACTCCCACTTCTAAGTTGAGAACATGCAGTTATTTCTCCTTACATGTCTGATTTGTTTCACTTGAGACAATGGCCTCCAGTTTCATCCATGTTGCTGCAAAAGATTTATCTTTTATTCTTAAAGGCATTCTTATTATCAAAAATTCAAGTGGGCTGGGCATGGTGACTCACACCTGTAATCCCAGCACTTTGGAGGCTGAGGTGGGAGGATCACTTGAGCCCAGGAGTTCGAGACCAGCCTGGGCAACATGGCAATACACTTTCTCTACAAACAGTACATAAATTAGCTGGGCATGTTGGTGAACACCTGTAGTCCCAGCTACTCAGAAGGCTGAGGTGGTAGGATTGCTTGAGTCTGAGAGGTGGAGGCTGCAATGAGCCAAGATTGTGCCACTGTTCTCCATCCTGGGCAACAGAGCAAGACCCTGTCTCCAAAAAAAAAAAAAAAATTTTTTTTCAAGTAATTTTGGTCAGACAGAACTTCCTTTTCACTACACATGCACTCTTTATTCCTTCCCTAAGGGAACCCGACAATGATGGTTTACGATCCAGTTCCAAAGCTTAATATTCATGTGACCTTGGATTTGCTGTTTAATTTTTTTTTTTTTCTTTTTTTGAGACAGAGTCTCGCTCTGTCACCCAGGCTGGGTGCAGTGGCACAATCCTGGATCACTGCAACCTCCGCCTCCCAGGTTCAAGCAGTTCTCCTGCCTCAGTCTCCCAAATAGCTGGGATTACAGGTGTGCGCCACCATGCCCAGCTAATTTTTTGTATTTTTAGTAGAGATGGGGGTTTCACCATATTGGCCAGGTTGGTCTTGAACTCCTGACCTTGTGATCTGCCCGCCTCGGCCTCCCAAAATGCTGGGATTACAGGCGTGAGCCACCGCGCCTGGCCTGCTGTTTAGTTTTTATGTCCCTCAATTCCTTTACCTGAAATACTCATGTGGGTGAAATTAGTTAGGTGTTAAATCAGTTAGGTGTGGGTCCTTCCAGACTCTTTCTGTGTATTTAAATACATTTATAGGCTGGGTGCTAGGCTCACACCTGTAATCCCAACACTTTGGGGGTCTGAATTGGGAGATGGCTTGAGGCCAGGAGTTCAAGACCAGCCTGGGCAACATGCTGCCCATAATCTCAAAATGCTGGGATTACAGGCATGAGTTACCATGCCTGGACTCCTTCAGTTAATTTTAAATGACATGTGTTCATTCTTTAAAAAGAAAATTTACATGAGAAAAAAAATTTTTTTTTTTTTTTTTTGAGACAGAGTCTTGCTCTGTCACCCAGGCTGGAGTGCAGTGGCCGGATCTCAGCTCACTGCAAGCTCCGCCTCCTGGGTTCACGCCATTCTCCTGCCTCAGCCTCCCGAGTAGCTGGGACTACAGGCGCCCGCCACCAAGCCCGGCTAGTTTTTTTGTATTTTTTTAGTAGAGACGGGGTTTCACTGTGTTAGCCAGGATGGTCTCGATCTCCTGACCTCGTGATCTGCCCGTCTCGGCCTCCCAAAGTGCTGGGATTACAGGCTTGAGCCACCGCACCCGGCCCGAAAAAAAATGTTTTTAATTTACAGTCATGCCATCCAGACATATCTATTTATCGGTTTGAGATGGATTCCTCTGTTGTTTTGTATCCCTATCGTATATTCATATTGAAGATAGTTCCCTGGGTACCAATTTTTCTTACTACCATATGCTTGGTGTTGTGTCAAGATGTAAAAGAAACGCAAACAGAAGTGTGGATGGGCTGGGCACGGTGGCTCACGCCTATAATCTCAACACTTTGGGAGGCTAAGGTGGGAGGATCACTTGAGCCCAAGAGTTAAAGACCACCCTAGGCAACATGGTAAGACCCCCTCTCTACAAAATAAAAATTAAAAACTAGCCAAGCATTGTGGCATGCGCCTGTAGTCCCAGCTACTAGGGAGGCAGAGGTGGGAGATGAAGCCTAGGAGGTAGAGGCTGCAGTGAACTGTGTTCATGCCACTGCATTCTGGCCTAGGTGACAGAGTGAGACCCTGCCTCAAAAAAAAAAAAAAAGTATATGAACTCCCCAATCTATTTTGAAAACCAATTTGCAGAGACTTAAAAAGACCCAACTCATCCCCTTTGATTTTAAGCTTCTAGTCAGGCTTAAAATTAAAATAAGTAAAATAAAAAGACTCAATGCTTTGATAATGACCTTAAATGGCATGAAAATGTAGAAAAAGGAGAACTAGGGAAACAGTAGGCAGGCAATAGGACTTCTTGGAGTAGCTAAAATTCAGTGAATGATGATATGTGAAGAAGGAGGAGTGTGTCCTTGGTGTGAGGAATAACTTGAATAATTGTTATCAAGGTGGGAATAAGCGTGTCTGTATAAAACAGTCAGAGACCTGCCCACCGAGGAGTGGAAGTCCTTTGGGATTGGTGGGACAGGAGGTTCTGGGGGTGGAGTGGGGGCTGATGGGGGACCACTGAAGAGCCAGGACAAGAACTGGACTTGGTCTGGTGGAAGGCAGTGGGGATTCATTAGTGTTGCCAAGCTGCTACATTTCCTCTGTATCTTCTCTTAGGTTCTCCAGTTGCTACTGGAACAGGGACTCTTCTGCTGATCCTGTCTGATGTGAATGACAACGCCCCCATACCAGAATCTCGAAATCTATTCTTCTGCGAGAGGAATCCAAAGCCTCAGGTCATAAACATCATTGATGCAGACCTTCCTCCCAATACATCTCCCTTCACAGCAGAACTAACGCATGGGGCGAGTGCCAACTGGACCATTGAGTACAACGACCCAAGTGGGTACCTGAGTTTTATTTTGGCAACTTTGCTCCAATGGCCATGCTTCCCTTCCCCCAGATCCCCACCTCTCAATTTCCCTTCTCAACTTCCAGATGTCACCCCTTCCATTGGTACTTGCTTCCTTATCCCTTCTGTCTTTGAGGCCTTGCTCCGGAGGTCTTTTTCCTTTCCTGGTATCTAACATTGTAGCACGCTACCCAGTAATCTAAAACCCAAGCAGGGCTCCCTCTCCCAGCCTCTAGCCACCCTCCACTCCCCTCTCCACTTGCAACCTCTGGGACCATCTTCTCTGCCACCTCCTGCTCCTGGGACCAAGCAACACCGTTTTTGTGCTTAGCTCCTTCTTGCCAGCCAATCATGAGCTCCCAGATTTGTCAGCACTATTCTACCAAAGTGGAGGCAGCTGTCAACTGCCTGGTCAATTTGCATCTGTGGGCTTCCTACACCTACCTCTCTCTGGGCTTCTATTTCCACCGCAATGATGTGGATCTGGAAGGCGTGTGCCAGTTCTTCCACAAATTGCCCAAGGAGAAGCACAAGGGCGCTGAGCGTCCCTTGCAAATGCAAAACCAGTGTGGCGGCCGCACTGTCTTCCAGGACATCCAGAAGCCATGTTAAGATGAATGGGGTAAAACCCTGGGCGCGATGGAAGTCGCTCTGGCCCTGGAGAAGAACCTGAACCGGGCATTTTTGGATCTTCATGCTTTGGGTTCCGCCTGCACAGACCACCATCTCTGTGACTTCCTGGAGAGCCACTTCCTAGATGAAGAAGTGAAACTCATCAAGAAGATAGGTGACCACCTGACCAACCTCTGCAGGCTGGCCAGCCTCCAGGCCAGGCCGGGCGAAAAGGTTCACTCTCAGGCACAATCAGGAGCCTACCGAACCCAGTGACATCTGAAGAGCCCCGCTCTGCCTGAGCCTTTCCCTCCAGCTACTAGGCAGCTTTTTTTAAGCAACCCTAGAACCCTCTCCCAAGCCTTAGACCAAATGGAAATAAAGCTTTTTACAGAAAAAAAAAAAAAAAAAAGTACATACCTAGATAAAACCCAAGCAGCTCTGCTCTCTTCACTCAAGGCACTCAAGTGCCTTTAGTTCACTAACAATTTTATTCTGGAATGAGCTTTTTTTCCTCCCCTGATCTCATCATTTCTTTTTATTGCTTTCTCCAGCCCAAGAATCTATCATTTTGAAGCCAAAGATAGCCTTAGAGGTGGGTGACTACAAAATCAATCTCAAACTCATGGATAACCAGAAGAAAGACCAAGTGACCACCTTAGAGGTCAGCGTGTGTGACTGTGAAGGGGTCGCCGGCATCTGTAAGAAGGCACCGCTTGTCGAAGCAGGAATGCAAATTCCTGCCATTCTGGGGATTCTTGGAGGAATTCTTGCTTTGCTAAGTAAGTCCAGCTGGCAGGTGACTCAGCCTTTGACTTAAAAAAATGGAGGAGGTTTATTTCCTGGAAGTTATTTTTGTTCTTATATGAATAAGGATACAGGTTAGCTGATATAGAAGAGAGACTCCCAAGTTATGCTAGCCTCCATAAAATAGAAGTTTGTCTCTTACTGAACATTTTAGAGGTAAATGGTCTAAGATGAGAAGGTCATGAAGTCAACAGGGGACCCAGGTTTCTTCTGTTTCTTTTCATCCTTCAAGTCAGGCATCCCAGGCTTGAGTGCATACAAATCATCCGGGCCTCTGGTAAACTGGGAAATCTGATCCAGGAGGTCGGGCATAGGGCCACAGATTCTGCATTTCTTTTTTTTTTTTTTTGACGCTGAGTTTCGCTCTTGTTGCTGAGGCTGGAGTGCAATGGTGCTATCTCTCAGCTCACTGCAACCTCCGCCTAACGGGCTCAAGCAATTCTCCCGCTTCAGCCTCCTGAGTAGCTGGGACTATGGGCATGTGCCACCACACCCAGCTAATTTTGTGTTTTTAGTAGAGATGGGGTTTCTCCATGTTGGTTAGGCTGGTCTCGGACTCCCGACTTCGGGTGATCCACCCGCCTCAGCCTCACAAAGTGCTGGGATTACAGGCTTGAGCCACCGCACCCAGCCAGATTCTACATTTCTAACCAGCTCCCAGGGGGTACTGATGTTGCAGTTCCTTAGACCATAAGCAGAGTAGCAAGACCTTGGGGGCTGCCCTCATCAGCGTGTTCTAAGCTAGCCAGCTCACCACCGCCACCTCTACATTCCATCCTAGATGGGGGAAGGGGATAAGAGAGGAAGTGGAGGCCAAATGACTAGAAGTTGCGTATATCACCTCCACTTACATACCACTGGCCCAAACACAGCCACACCTAGCTGCAAGGGAGCCTGGAAGTTTCTACTTGCAATTGAAAATTGGCATGGAGTAGGGGTGGAGTGCAGGATGAGCAGTGAGTGTCAGTGACTAAAAGGATAAAGGAGAAAAAGAATGCTGAGGAAAATTGACAGTTTCTGCCATAGTCCTTAAGCCTGTTTCCATTGGAGCCCACTTGGAGTGAGCCCTAGGGGTGACACAGGTGCTATTACGGTCAAGGTAAATACTTTTGTCATTCACACGCAGAGAGAAAATACTGAATCTATTAAAGGAATACATTAGCTATGAAAACAGATTATGTGCATCAAAAGACAAAGTATCCATATGGAGTGCACTACATCGGAACTCTGGTAGGGCTTTAAACATATGAATGACAGAAGAGCAAGCGAATGATTCTCAAAGCAAATGAGAGCAAGTCAATTAGAAACCTTTGACCAGGTGTGGTGGCTCATACTTTGGGAGACCAAGGTGGGAGGATTGCTTGAAGCCAGGAGTTTGATACCAGCCTGGGCAACAAAGCAAGACCCTGTCTCTACAAAATGAAAAATATATCTTTTTAAAGAAATGTTTAAAGATCATAAATAATTAGTGACTGCAAGGAGTGGTCCAGTTCATGAATGTGTTTGTAGTCAGTGTAGTCAGAAAAAGCTGTTAATTGAGTCTCAAGGACAGTTTTGTGGAAGATATAAGTGGTTAGGCCACAGGGGCTGGTAGAATTCCAACAGGCTATGGATATTCAGGAAGGTTCCCCTCCTAGCAAAGCACAGCAGAGGCTTGAGGAGACTCCTAGGAGGACAGAGACCAGGCCAAGCTGGTGGGAATGGAAAAAGATTTTTGGAGGGAGCAGTGGGACTGAATCTAGGGCTTTCCATTTAGATTGAGCATGGGTGCCATTGATCCTGCTGCTGCTGCCTCAGTGGACTCCAGGAGAGGGTGCCTTTCAATCTTCCAGAAATGTTTGCTGGGCATCCCATTTGCTTCTGCCCCCTCCTAGTGTTCTCCCAAAGTTGAAGAGAAGGATACTGCTGTTGAGAATTGAGCAAGCCTTCTGGACTTTCATCCTGCCCGGCTTTACATGGCTTTACTGTGCCATGAGATTAGATTAATTCATCATTGTCTTGGGCAGTGTAACACAAGCCCTGCCTGCCCACTTCCTAGTCAAATTACATTTGAGTGGCCTAGTCTGCTTTTGGGATAGTGGTTACTGACTAGTACATTCATTTTAAGGGGAATCGTTTTCCCTTCTCTTCTCTTCTCTTCTCTTCTCTTCTCTTCTCTTCTCTTCTCTTTTCTCTTCTTTCAGGCAAGGTCTCATTCTGTGGGCCGGCTGGAGTGCAGTGGAGTGATCTCATATCTCATCTCACTGCAGCCTTGACTTCTGGGGCTCAGGGGATCCTCCCACCTCAGCCCCCCGGGTGGCTGGGACCACAGGCATGAGCCACCACACCCAGCTAATTTTTTATATGTTTTTGTAGAAACAGTGTTTCCTCATGTTGCCCAGGCTGGTCTCAAACTCCTAGTCTCAACCAGTCCTCCCGCCTTGGCCTCCCAAAGTATTGGGATTACAGACATGAGCTACTGAGCCCAATCAGGGAATCTTAAAGACTGTAGTTATACTTGAAATATTTTTTTAAGAGTAGGATTACCTAAATTTGCTATGGATATGTATTTTTTTAGACACTGGGGGTGGGGATTCCCAACATTTAAAACAGAGGCAATGCCAGAATTCAGATGTTCAATTTCTTGTATTTTTACCTTCTATGATTATTTTTTTCTTTATTAGAGACGGGTTCTCGCTATGTTACTCACACCGGTCTCAAACTCTTGAGCTCAAGTGATCCTCCCATCTCGGCCTCCCCAAGTGCTGGGATTACAGGTGTGAGCCACTCCACCAGCCAATTCTTGTTTCTTAAGGGCAAAAATGTGCTAGAGGCTGGTTGTGGTAGCTCACGTCTATAATCCCAACACTTTGGGAGGCTGAGGTGGCAGGATTGCTTGAGCCTAGGTTTCAAGATCAGCCTGGGCAACATAGCAAGACCTCATCTCTATTAAAAAATAATAATAATAATAAATAAATTACTAGAGAGACACCAGGAGATCTGAAGCTTTTCGTGTTTTCCACCAATATTTGGTTGCTTACTCTGTACCAGGCTTTTTCTCAGAGCCTGGGGATACTGGGCTTCTGGCACAGCTGATAAGAGGCATCTTTTTGGAAACGGTAAGCTGCCTCTTGCTGTGCATGGATGGGGACTGTGTAGCTCCTATAGTCTTGTTCAGTGCTGTCTCCCTGTGCAGCCACTTCATTGTTCTTGTTGATGAATCATGGACAACACAGTTATATTGTTTATCTGGATAAGGTTTCTGGCATTTTTCTGATTTCAGAAATAGGTAGTTGGGGTACATCTGAGAAATCTTTTCCCCAAGTTTATGCAACCTCCTGTTTAAAGATTATGCTTCGGCCAGGCATGGTGGCTCACGCCTGTAATCTCAGCACTTTGGAAGGCCCAGATGGGTGGATCACTTGAGGTCAGGAGTTTGAGACCAGCCTGGGCAACATGTTGAAACCCCGTCTCTACTAAAAATACAAAAATTGGCTGGGCATGGTGGCAGGCACTTGTAGTCCCCCCTACTTGGGAGGCTGCGGCAGGAGAATCAGTTGAACCCAGGAGGTGGAGGTTGCAGTGAGCTGAGATTGCGCCACTGCACTCCAGCCTGGGTAACAGAGCAAGACTCTGTCTCAAAATAATAATCATAAATACATAAAGATTATGCTTCATAGGGTACAGTATATAGGTACTTGGGCACACATGCCCATAGATAGAAATCACACGGAATCTTTTTATTTTTCATTCACAGTGAATAATATAATTTTTTTTTAAAGTTAAGTGCTTTCTTTCTGGCTGCTTTAGAGAATTTTTTTTAAGTTGAATGTTAATGGTATATATCCTAGAAATAATCCCAAGATCAAATGTAACCGTTGTCTTAAGCCTTGGAAGTTAAATAGATTATAAAGCTTGCTTTACATGATTCTATCTTAAGAGAAACTAAGAACATACCAGGCAATTTTATAGTCTCTGTCCCTCTCCTCATAGCTGATTATGTATCAGTCACATTTGGGCTGACCTAGGAGCCCTGCTCACAAACCTTCAGTGGCTCCAACTCAGAATCAAAGCCAAGGTCCTTGCAGTGGCCTATATGTCCCTCCCGCCCTGCTTGCCCCTCTGAGCTCTTCTCCATGTCTCTTCCCCTCATGCACCCTGCTACAGCCATGCTGGCCTCCTCACCTTCCCTCCATCACACCAAACATGCTCCTGCCTCAGGACCTCTGCCCTTACTGTTTCCTCTGCCTGGAACACTTTCCCCCAGATTTGGGAAAATGACAGTGATTGAGTTTAAGACCCATCTGAAAGTTAGGGACCATGCTTGAATTCATGTATCACTGTCTACTATGTTGTACTGTACATACCAACTTCAGGGATGTGAGTGTCACATGGATTGACATCTTCAAGTGTATTGAAGGCAGCTGGTGGCTGTCTGACTGCCCATTGTCTGATATGAGGCGTGCTCTGTGATAATGCTGCTTCTGGCCTTCTTTATCTTTGGTTCTCATCACTCTTGCTCTCTCTCCCCCACCACCCCAGTTCTGATTCTGCTGCTCTTGCTGTTTCTTCGGAGGAGAGCGGTGGTCAAAGAGCCCTTACTGCCCCCAGAGGATGACACCCGGGACAATGTTTATTACTATGATGAAGAAGGAGGTGGAGAAGAGGACCAGGTGGGTTTTTAAAACCATGGTAGCTCAATGGTGATCTCTTAATTCGGAAGAAGCAATGATTAGTAAGAGGTAGGCATTTGAAACAGCTCTGACTCCCTTTGGATATTATCTTTTTAAGGCCTTACCCAAGAAAGTAGACATTGTCATTGACCATCATCATCATCATCACATCACCAACACAGCTAACATTTATTGATCGCATACTGTTCTGCACCTCAATGAGCGAACTGAGGCACAGAGAAGCTCAGTAACTTGTCTAAGGTCACACAGCTAGGAAGCGACACAGCCAAATGGTCTGTCTCAGAGTCTGCACTCCTCATTGCCATTCTCCGGACATGAACTTGAGCCAGATTATCTTTGACATAGAACAACTGGTCTGCTTTGTTTCTCTTGAGTTTTCAGCTAGACCAAACTCCTTTTTGTCAATGTTATACCTTTAGTCCTTCTGTATTTCCTGATTTTGGAGATGATCTTAACATCTTACTCTGGAGTTGTCCAGGGAACTGTTCAGGGTCTTGGAGAACCTACTTATTATAGAAAGGGAACCATGGGGGTCTATTACAGAGTCCTGCTTTTGACTGAGGTCATAGAGTGAGGCACCATTTACTGAGCTCCATACAACATAGGGAGGTGGGTGTACAGAGAAAAATATTGTTCTAGATTTCAGGGACTTCTAAGTCTAGTTGGGGGATACCATATATATTGTATCAGTGAGCAATAGAGCAACCAATCCCAGAATCCCAGCAGCACACAACATGCGTGTGTTTCTCATGTGTTGTGGGGCAGCTGGGGCAACTGCAGGTCTCATCTAAGCTCATGAGAATCTGTAGGATGGCTGGGGCTCAGCAGATTTAGGTAGAGTTTAGCTGAATGGCTCTAATCTGCGAATCGTGTCCAGGTCTGTTCCATGCAAGTCTCATCTTTGTACCAGAAGCTGGTGCCTTTCAGACCTTTGCCTGTGTCACATGTTACAGTCCCATTGGCTAAGCAAGTCACACAACAAAGCCCCAAATTGATGGATGTATACTCTTCCTACAGGCTGGGGTTGGGAGGGAGTAAATATTTGCCAAACAGTGATCTAATCATCATGTCCTGTGAAAATTAGTAAGGCACACAGCCTATATCTGGATTCACACATGCTACTCACAATCCTTTGGGCTATGTTTTTTTCCAGTGTTATTTGGGAGACTTTTAGCTTGAAAACTGTCATTTTGCATTAAACAGGTAAAGATCATACAGCTGGTAGTGAAGGCATCATCCAGCCATAATCTATAAACTGAACATAGCCCTGTGTGTATGACTGTTTCTTACTCTTTGTTGTACTTCAACCTTTTTCTCCAAAGGACTTTGACTTGAGCCAGTTGCACAGGGGCCTGGACGCTCGGCCTGAAGTGACTCGTAACGACGTTGCACCAACCCTCCTGAGTGTCCCCCGGTACCTTCCCCGCCCTGCCAATCCTGATGAAATTGGAAATTTTATTGATGAAGTAAGTAATCCACATGGAAAGCCAAAGCATTGCTCATCTCTAAGCTCAGAAAGGAGGAGTTGTGTCAAAAATGAGAAAAAGAGTCTTTAGATTCTTTCCTTTACTATGTTTTCAGCTTGCCTGAGCCCTGAACCCTGTTTTTCCTTTTTTCTTTTTTTTTTTTTTTGAGACAGAGTTTCGCTCTGTTGCCTAGGCTGAGTGCAATGTGGTGCAATGTCGGCTCACTGCAGCCTCCACCTGGGTTCAAGCAATTCTCCTCCCTCAGCCTCCCAAGTAGCTGGGATTACAGGCCTGCGCCACCACACCTGGGATGGTAGTGGTTTGTAGTTTTAGTAGAAACAGGGTTTCTCCACGTTGGTCAGGCTGGTCTCTAACTCCTGGCCTCAGGTGATCCACCCACCTCGGCCTCCGAAAGTGCCGGGATTACAGGTGCGAGCCACCGTACTCAGCAGCCTGTCTTTCTTCTTCTGTGTCTCATCTGAATTTTGGATCTAATAGTGCTTCAAATTGCAAAGTCCATGTGGCAAAACCAAGAATTGCCTGAAAGGATTTAGTAGATCTAGAAATGAAACTAGGAAGATTCTAAGTAAATTTCATTTTAGTTTCACTAATGGGATTTACTTCCCTTGCCTCCCGCTGCTGGTTGGGATATAATGATAAATGTATATCACAAGCTTACCTGAGGACTAGAAAAATAGAATCTGTATTGTATATGTCAGAAATGCATTCAGCTCTAAATACAAGATGCTGAAACAGATTTACCTTGTACAAATAGAAAGCTGGGGTGAGCAGTCTAGCTGGTGCATCAGGCCGTTCCATGTTTCTGCTCCATTATCTTAGCATGGAGACCCTTGTTCTCAGGCTTGTTGCCTCATGATCACAAGATGGCTGCCACACTTCCAAACCTTAGGTCTGTATTCCAGTCAGGAAAAAAGTATGAAGAGCAAAGCAGAGGGCAAAAGTCTTTCTTCTAGTGAACTGTCTTCTTATTTAACAAGGGAGTTGTCCAACCAGTTATTGGCCAGAACTATCAGAAGGTTGTATCTGTCTGCAAGGGAGGATAACAAGGCATTAAATTAATTAGCTTAGGATAAGATGAGAAAGAACCCAGTAAAGACATAGTCTGGCAGGATCTGTTTCCTTAAGCTATATTCTCTAATAACTTGCTTGGTTACTGGAATGATTTTCTGGGCTTTCTGATGGTCCAGTGACCCTTGGTGAGTCTTCATGGTGAGGTCTGTGTTTGCCTTATATTCCTACAGGAGCTGTCACTGAGGACTATGAGGTACTGCAGTGTTAGAAGTGACCAAGCCACATTCATTTTGGCCACTGGAGAAAACAAGAAACAGGAAGAAACCAGTTTAGCCACCCCTTTTATTTATTTATTTTCATTTTTTGAAATGTCACCCAGGCTGGAGTGCAATGGCATGATCTTGGCTCACTGCAACCTCTGCCTCCCAGATTCAAGCAATTCTCCTGCCTCAGCCTCCCAAGTAGCTGGGATTACAGGCACTG